TTTATCTCGGCTAAAAACCTTAATTAATTGTAATATATTAATTGGTCAAGCGGACCACGAAATTAGTTAATTTAAATCATGAACAATATTCTATAATTTTGTCACTCGGTTGTATAACTCAATTATATTCAGTAATACAATAATTAAACCAATTATTATAAAATTGTTATCTGCTGAATGCTAAAAGGTTATTGTTCATTAAAAAATAAGATGCTTTTGCAATTAGTATATTTTGTTTTAATTAGTTTATTGCAGTCCAAAACAACCAAATCTAAATCTCATTTATCAATTATGATAAGAAATAAAAGAATTAAACAAAATATTGTAAAATTGACGACTATTGAGTTTCTAAAAATTTTGCCTTACAGAATGAAATAATTAAATCCTACTCCAGACAATTTCTGTTGGGTCATCCAGTTTATTCATGCCAAAAACGACAATTCATAGACATTAACTACAATATGAAAATATATAATAAACCAAAATATTGTGAAATTGGTTGTAGGATTGCTAAAGTTGTTGTCTGATATTACGATAATAATTAACGTGCTTATGGAACCATGAACATGGTTGTCTTTGTGATGTTCCGCTTATTCTAGTGAAAGAAGCGGAAACATCGATACAAACCAAAGGTTGAATTAAACAAAATATTGTAAAATTTGTTTGGCAATAGGTAAAAATTTTCAATTTAAAATGAAATTGAAATTAAAACAATGTACTATTGAAGAAAACGAGGCCCCAAATATCATATAAAGAACATGACTGAAAATAAAGAAAAACACCACTAAATGTAACCATAAAAATGTGGATGTACAAATGAAACTGTTAAAACGGTGGTTATGAGTGGATGTGGGGCAAGAGGGCCAGTTAAAAAGGCAATAGAGGGTGGACTTGAGCTGAGTCTGGGGCTGGATTAGATTTTTAAAGTGAATAGGAATACAAGTTGAACAAAAGAAAGAAGAAAGCAAAAGAATCCAAAATTAATAATTTTGTTAAAAACTAACAGGTATAATAATAATAATCAAGTTATTTATTTTCTTCTGCACACAGCAAACATTTTCAAATTCATGTAACTTACACCAAACATAGATGGAAGATCTTTTCACCCAAACAGAGTAAACAGCCAAATAATGTCTTCAAATGCTCCATGTAAATTCAAATCTAGCTCTTTATACAATCTGTGATATATTGAGTTTAGAAATTTAATAATCAAATTGTTTTTTAGCCAATTGTCATTTAAGCCAAAAGTCAAGTTAAGCGCCTTCAGTTATTAAAAGTTATTTACTCTTAAAATCATTCTTAATATTGGGTTGTCCGGAAAATAATGCAGGATTTTGGTATTAAACAAAAAAAAAGAAACTAGTTACTTTAAAGCAATGTTCTTTAATCAAAATAATTTCCCATACTCTCAATACATTTCTCCCAACGTGTTGGTAACTTATTAATTCCGTCTGAGTAGAATTCAGAATTTTTAGAATTGATAAAGTCAATAAATGCATTTTCCAGTTCCGTTTGATTTTTGAATATTATGTGTTGTAAGTAGTGGTCCAGGTGTCTAAAAAAATGGTAGTCAGTAGGCGAGAGGTCCGGAGAGTAGGGTGGGTGAGGCAAAGTTTCATAGCCAAGCTCCAATAATTTTTGTGACGTTACACGTGACACATGTGGTCGAGCGTTGTCATGCAACAAAATGGGCCCTTTCCGATTGACCAAAGAGGGCTTCATTACTGCCAATTTCTGATGCATGGTATTAATTTGGTTACAGTATGATTCAGCATTGATGGTTTCGCCAGGATTTAAGAAGCTGTAGTGTATTAAACCAAATGAAGCCCACCATACCGTAACCATTACATTTTTTTGATGAGTTGGGGGCTTTGGAAAATGTATTGGAGCTTCTCCTTTGTCGAGCCACTGTCCAGAACGTCTAGTGTTATCGTAGAGAATCCACTTTTCGTCACATGTAACAATTCTGGCCAGAAATGGGTCATTTTTGTTTCGACAAAGAAGTGATGCACAAACATCAAAGCGCTGATTTTTTTGGCGATCGTTTAATGAGTGTGGAACCCAATTTTCGAGTTTTTTCACTTTTCCAATCGCCTTGAGGTGGTCAGCGACGGTCGTTTTACTGACTTTGAGTTGCTCTGCAAGTTCTCGAACAGTTGTTTTGGGGTTTTCTTCCACCACTGATCGCAGAACATCATCATTAAGAGAGGAAGGCCTTCCACGACCTTCTTCATCTTCAAGGCTGAAATCTCCCTCCCGAAATTTTTTAAACCACCTTTGCACAGTGCACTCATTAACACAACCCTCGCCCCAGACTTGGTTAATGTTTCTAGCCGTTTGGGCTCCGCTTCGGCCGAGTTTAAACTCGTAAAAGAAAATCGTACGAAATTCTCGCTTTGACATTATAAGGATGACTGAATTATTTCCAAGTAGCGGAATGCTACAGAGGTAAACAAACAATATCATTTGGAAGAGGATTAATAAGTGTTGACATTCATACAAATGAGTAATCCTGTAAACGTAAACAGAATATTTTATATAGATTTTTTTTAATGAAAACTTAAAATCCTGCATTATTTTCCGGACAACCCAATAATATTCTCTATTTTCTTTTTTCTTCAGCCCTACAATAATAATTACTACTCGTCATACGTGGCACAATTTTTTTAAATCCCTTAAGCCAGAATGTTTTTATTAATTATTTCTTCTGGTAAAATATTTTGAAACCTATTGTTAGGAAGAAGTAGAACTTTTTGTATATGTGTAATAGACATCTCTAATAAATACATAGTGGTTCAGCCGTTCAACACATAACAATTCAGGATTTGTTTTGGAAGAAAAGAACCTTTTACAAAAACAAGCACAATTTTTCTGGTCCTCAAATTGCATGTCACCCCAAACTGCGCCAGAATGTTGTGTAACATATAACTGTCCGACTATATATTTTTTTTCTTTTAAATTCTTACATGTGGAATACATTCCTAATTTAGCATTATTCCTCAAAGTGTTTCTGAAAAGAAAGTTTTGAAATCAACGTAACATCAATGTATTTGTAATTTTATTAACTATACTTATTATTTTCCCATCACATTTCTATAATTCAAATAGCGCCTTTCTTCCCTCTCCTCTAAATTCAATAATTTGGGACTTTTTAAAATTTATATTTATATCCCATAATTTTTCAATATTTGCTCGATTTATTAATCATCCCTTGTGTTGTTAAATCATCAAAACATTGTCAGCATTTAGCACGTACATTTTACTACGGCTATAAGGATAACCCTTTATGTACAGTCACAAATGCTCAAACATGTTTTTTCTTAATTTAGGTGTTTGATTTAAAAATATATTCCTATCTAATTATAACCTTTAACTCACTTTGCATAATATAAACGCTCAAAAACGTAAACATCCAGCTTATTCTTTGGCATAATGGCCAATGATTAGGAAGGGTAGATCTTTTTTAGATTAGATAGATTTTTTTTAAATACTCAGTAAATATATTCGTAAACAATAACAAAATTGTATAAAAATAAAATATATTTATAATTAAAAATCAAATTTCACATATTCACAAAATATAATTTAATAATACTTAATACCAAACATGCATAAAATAAAATAATTGAAAATTTAATCATATGTCAAAGGTATGCCGAAATGCCTGTCAACACTATAATCTACTATTATGTTATTATTATAATACTGCAATATATATACATACACACATATATACCCACATATTTTATATTTTGCAGGTAAGCAAGAAAAGTTTTATTGCCTGGTAGAATTTCAATTGTCCAAGGTTCTGGTAGGACCATTTTGTGAGCAATCTTTCCTTAATTTTTGGAAAGCATACAAATGTCAATTACTCTCTAATACTCACATCCCATCTATTTTCCCATGACTGATGTGTCCAAGCATAACTGTTGCGTAAATGTGAGCCTCAGAACAAGTCCATCCCGTGATCCGAAATGCCTGTAATGCTCTAAACATGATCACATTTTATATTTATTTGTGTTATTTTGGCTTTGAGATCAATACCTATGGAGGGAGGGATGCTGAAGCGATAATTGGAAGGGTATGAGTGGATATCATTAGGTATTCTTTTGTCACCCTCAACAGGGTTAGTCTTTGACTTTGCTGCAATATTTTCCTAGATCTTGTTTGCAATTTGGCCCCAAGAGGCAGCTACATAGTTATTAGAAATTATGAACGGTGGAGTGAGTGTGTTGTTCAATTTTTTTAAAAAGATAGCTACATAGTTGATTATCAGAATGTAGACCCTTTTGTACATTACGAAAACTCCAACTACAACCCAATTTGGCAATTTTCCTAAGTTTAATGAATGGGCAGTGCGTCGATTCTCTAATTTTTATAATGTGGAGAAGAGCCAAAACTTGTTGGCTGTGTAAATGCTGAAATTTTCCTTCGAGTGTGATTAAATCTTACTACCTATCATCCTGATCAATTGAAATTGTGTTCGCTGTTGCTAATATAACAATAAAACAGATTATAGTATAATGATATCAGCATAGAAACTTTCAAGTTTCAAGGCCATAGCCCTCTTAAAACAATTGTTTTTCAAGTTTGAATTTTTTTTTAACCACATGGAAGTTAAAAACAAATTAATTATGATGGTTTGAAAAGCAGCAAAAAGTCTTTTATTGAAAGATTAAAATTTAACTAACAATTTATTCTATCACTAAATGATTTTCCGGTGTTTTGATCAATTTTCTTTCAAAACATCATAATTAAATATTTTTTATTAAAAATCTTGAACATTTGATCTCTATTAATTTGGTTTATATTAAAATAAGAATGTAATAATTAATATAACGTTAAAAATAAAGACATAGTCTGAAAGAAAAATATGAGTTTCCGGTATATTTGTCTTTGAGTATATAATATTGGGTAACGGGCGTGTCTTGGGCCGGGAAGCCGTTGTAAACAAAACTTGAGAGGCGGGACCGGTTGGTCTCGCTTGGTCGACGGTGCTGCCCGGCTAGACTGGGTGCCAAGCTCATTCCTCCGCCGAATCTCGAACGAGTCGCGTCTTAAGCTTTCGTGAACGAAAAGTTGAAAACACGACGAAGTGCATTTTTTGTATGTAATTCAACCCTCTGGATTGTTGGACGATAATTGGCCCGGGATCGGGTAGAATTTCAACTTGAAACATACAAGGTAAGCCTTTTTAAATTTATAATTTGAATGTTTAAAAAAATAGACTTAATATTTGATTTTGTAGGAATTTTTATTAGCATCGACGAAGGAGAACATTGAATAATAAATATAATAAATAAAATTTCTGGTTTTGAAGATAATTCATGAATAACTGTTTAATTGGAAATTCGAAAGATAGGTTTCAAAAAATTTGAACATCTAACTTTGTGGATGGTTAAGATAAAAAATTAAAAATTAAGAATAAATGAAACGCTCTAGTAATAGGACTGTTTTATTGTCAAAATACAATTCGTGCAAAATTCTTTGATTGCATGTGCAAGTTGGTTTTGTGTGTGTTTTATGTACGTTTCTTGAGTCATTTTATACATATTCACTTTCTATTATAAATTCAACTCAATCCCTCATTAAACTAATCGTATAATAAACTACCACACATGAATATTATTAATGTCAAGCAAATATATGATTCTAGATCACGTTAAAGACCATAACTAATGACCAAATTAATCACACATGTCTTTTGAAAACACAAACGCATAAAGAAAAGGTTTAACTGTTCATTTATTCCATTAATCAGTATTAAGAATTTGGAAAAATGGGTTGGTCATAAAAAAACTGTTTTGTAATTTTTAAATTAGAACTGATTGAAGGAAGGTGTGTGAAAATCCTGGAACTTGGCGCGCGCGCTCGTGTGTTTTGTGTGTGTCTATTCTGTAAATTGGGAAAAAACGTTTTATTTTTGAGGTACACATGCAAAATTGTATAAAATCTCAATTCCTTTTTAATTTAGTTTTTAAGCAAATTTTGTGTTATGTACATGAGTAGGACCTATATCACCAAAAACCTGGATTATGCATACACAGGGTCAATCAGAAATTGGCAGACTAATTATAAGAATATTTTTTCTGATATTTCTATTTTAGGCTTGTCATGGAAGCTAAACTCAATACTACCTGCTAAATAAAATTAATAATAATATTTTTAAAAAACTGGAGTTACTTAAACCAATTTTATCCATAAATACGTATTTTTACGGATATTTTGAACACAGGAAAAGAAATATAGACAAAGATGTTTTCGTGAATCCTGTTTTAAAATAAATTTATAAAGCTTTCTAGTTTGAATTGAATTTTTTCTTATTATAGCAGTAGAATATTATAAGCCTGGATTAATGAAACAACTGAGCGATTAATCTTGCTAAAATTACGTCATTATCTCATTGAATACAATCGAGGGGCGAGGGATCCAAAAAATTCGAACTTTGCCAAAATCACGACCTAATCTCTTTATTAATCGTACTTCTTCGAATTGGGTCAGCGTGGATTAAACTTGTTAATTTATCGCTTCTGTATCGGCGTTTTCCGAGAGAAAACCACTCGGGACGAGTGCTGCGTATGAATGAAATCAGCTGCAGTTGCATCTAATCAGCAGGCAAGGTGGGGAAAAAATGCAAAGAGTCGGCAAGATGAGGTCATCTGCGCTGTTGTTTCCACTGGTTTATGAGAATTGACTCATTCTGAGATTTATGAATGGCAATCGACGTAAATAACGCACTTTGAAAACGTAAATTTAGCCTCGGTGCATACGGTTCGAGTATACGAAAAATATTGTAAAATTACCTAATTTTCTTGCCTTGGCAAGCTTTTCGGTAAAAAGAAAATTTTAAAAACGAATTTAATCGAAAAACTCCATCAAGGTTTCTAAGCATTTTTTGTCAATCATGGTGACGTGACAATAAAGCATATAATGAAGCAAATCATAAAAAATACAATAAATCTGTGACAATTGATTCATTCCAATTTTGTTATAATAATTTTTGTAGTAATAAATGAGGCTTGATTTGTCCAGTTCTTACTGTATTGAATATGATATTAAATCTATATATAAAATAATTGTAGAAAAAATTATTAAAGAGGTTGATCCTTACAGACTTTCCTGGTATTAGTTATTCAAATCTGACATAGAATCGACCGTGTTGACAAAAAATAATACATAAAATAAAATCTTTATAACTACTTAGCGCGATGCCGAAACGCATTTGTATAGTTCAACCCCTGAGTCGCAGAGCACCCAGCATTAACAATCAAATAAAATATAATTGTTTTCAGTAAGGAATTAACTTTTGTAAGTTGTGTTTTGTCCTATTCCTATTACGTCTTTTATATCAGCTGTGGCCTTATTTTGACGAAGGGCATCAAGCGAGATTAGGCGGACCGAGAGCTTGTCAACAATTATTTCTTCGTCCCAAAATATGAAAATGTTAAAATCACTGGTTTAAGGTATCGACAATTCAAAACAGTGTAAAATTAGCACATTTTCTGTATTAAAACTCATTTAAAATAATAATTCTTAAAAAAAATGTTTCTAATATCAACACAGTGAGTACATTTGATTGGACGATTTTGTAAAAAAAAATAACTAAAATGAAAATATATAATATTGTTTTCAGTTTTTTCTAGATTCTGTAAAACATTATCGTACTGTCACAAGATAAAATGTATAAATTATAGGCTATACAGGTACATACATAATATCGCTTAATATTTTTTTTATTCAACATTAACCCATATTTAAAACAAAGGATACACATGGCAGTCGGAATGAATCATCAAATCAGTATTTTAAAGATTATTACTTTTGAAAAACAACCGATTGCTCATTCCCTCGTTCTACATTCGTACAGGGGAAAAATGTTTACCCACGTAAATTAAAAATCAGGTTCAATAATCCTATTTTCGACTATTGTTTGTTTACAAGAACGACATGACTGCGAGGCACTGACCTAACGATGTGCACATTAGAAAAAGATACGATCTTTTTCTTCTTCTTTTAATGCAATGATAAATTGCTTATGAGATTTCTTTTTTTTTCTTCTTCTCGTTGAAATTATTACACCAGTACGCGAAACAATAAACTTTTAATTAAACTTAATATATATAAAATGTTTGAATAATAATGAATAATATGGTAGGATCCAAACGTAACATTTACATTTTTTTAAACAATTTAATATGGATTGTTTCTTTTAGTACTATTTTTTGGCTATATTCCAATACAATAATTAATTTTCTTCTTAAAACAATAATTAACATTTTTACATACAATAATTAAATTTTTGAATTTGTAATTGGCTAACGATGAAAATTTGTTTGTTTGTTATTTTTCTTCGTTGAAACCAAAATATTTTCAAATGTAGACAAACTATTTTGAAAATAGTGGAACAATTACGTTTTTGGTGGTACGGGGTCGGGGGGAAAAAATTTAAAATAATTTGTACAATTTAAAAAAAAATATGATTCTCTTCATTTGTTGTGCATGTATTCCAAGGTTATTGTATATCAATCAATTTGATTTTGTACCTACGATAAGAAAATTGTATGTAGGATCTTATTAAATTAGAGTAGAAATGATAAAATTTGTGAAAACTTAAAACGCTTCCAGTAAACTATGCCAAAACAACTGTTTTAAAAAAAATTTTGAACTCCCTTTGAAGCCTTAAATATAAATTTTTATAACAAACAGAAAATAAACATTTTTGGGGTGGATCAGCTTGAGACAATTTTTTCCTCTGTCCGGTGTCCCACTTAAAAATTCATAACTCCTCTGGATTTTATCCAATGTACACGGTATTATGGACGTTGAAAAGCTGCATTTCTCTTCTTTAAACCTATATCAAAAACCTTTGGATTTTGTAGCATTATAAGTGAGATGGTTAAGCATGAATTTAGCAAAAACTCCCAAAACCTTTTATTTTATTTATTTACTCAGCTTCTAATTTATTCTAAACTAAACTCCTGTAAAGTGGCACATCCATGGAGACATTTTTGAAGAAAAAATCTGAAGCATTTTTGTATAACACAAAATTTGAAGAAAAAAATGTTTGCATTCAGAAAACTAATATAATTTTATTTCTTGATAGGAAACTATTTAACGTACTTCACTACATAGTTCTTACCATTTTTTGGGCTAGTTTTTATAGGACTCGTCTTGGTTTTTATATCATTTTATATATCTAATATTTACCAATCTTACTGAGTATACTTCACTAAGCTTCTCCGTGGCTATTTGATTTGTCGCCGAGAATCCAATCCGATTACACGACATTTGAAAAATGGCAAAAAGGAGGGAAAATTTAAAAGGTGGGCTTGAGATGGGAAGTTGGTGTCCGAGTGGATCGAGGTCACGATAGCTCAAGTGGTAGAGCAGCGGCGTATCTAGCCGAAGATCGTGGGTTCGAATCCCGCTCGTGTCATTGACTTTTTTATCTCAACTAAAAACCTTAATTAATTGTAATATATTAATTGGTCAAGTGGACCACGAAATTAGTGAATTTTGAGTTCTATTCCTTCGATAAAAAAATCGGATTTGAATCTTTTAATCTTTGAAGATCATATAGAGAGAAAATAGAGTTGGTCGGTCATATTAATAATATTAATACAAGCAAAAGTCGTGTTTGAATTTTAAAGATAATTGACTGAAAGAGACTAAAAATGTACAGTACTACAAAATATTAAGACTTAATAGTTTTGATTAATTTGTGCAACCAACTACCCAAGTTCAAAAGAAAAGAGGATAAGTTTTCTAACAGTTGTAATTTGTGCAAAATCCGGAGGAGTTATGAAATTTTAAGCGGAATGGTGGATATTGGCGAGAAAAAAATAGCCCTATAAATAAACACAAAATTATCTATTTTTATTGTGATTAAATTTCGTATTTAATAGTTTTAAAGGGTACTTAAAACGAATCTGAATTGATTTTTTTAAAATAATATTCTTACCTACTTTACTGCTAACGTCTTTTAGTTTATGTAACTTTTTAAATATTTAATACAATTCTGTTCTTTTAAATAATAACTTTGTTAATGAAAATGTTGAAAGTCGTTAAAATGTTCGTAAAAATTCCCTCTCTATCTAAAAATATTTAAAACATCACAAAACCAATATTATTATGATTCACCTTCGTAAACACTGAAATATTTTCAGTTTTATAGTTAAGTAGTT